AAAAAAAAAAAAACCAGCCATGAGAGTGAATAAACCATTGCCTCACACAATAATATGGATTAACATTACAAACATCTGGATGGGCATGATGTTTCACACCTGTAATCCCAGCATTTGGGAAGGCTAAGGCAGGTGGATCACTTGAGCCCAGGAGTTCAAGAACAGCCTGGGCAATACAGTGAGACCTCAACTATACAAAAAATAAAGATAAATTAGCCAAGCCTGGTGGTGTGCACCTGTGGTCCCAGCTACCCGGGAAGCTGAGGTGAAAGTCCTGCTTAAGCCCAGGAAGTCAAAGCCACAGTAAGCCAAGATCACACCAGTGCACTCAAGCTTGAGTGACAGAGCAGACCCCATCTCAACACACACCACACACCCACACACCCACACACGCACCCACACACACACACACCAAAGTGAAAGAAGCCAGACAAAAAACACTACATAAGAGTATGATTACATTTTTATAAGCTCAAAAACAGAGAAACCTAATCTATGATGGTAAAAGTCAGGACAGTGATGTTTTGGGGGACAAACGTTAACGGAAGGAGGGGTGAAAAGACACTTCGGAGATGCTAGTTACACAAGTATTTTCACTTTGTGTAAAGTCATAGAGCTAAAGACATAGTTTTGCACTTTTCTGAATGTATGTTACACTTCAACAAAAAGTTTAACAAAACAGGTAACAAGAAAAGCTCCAGATATTTAAATTTTTTAAAGCACTTCTTAATAATCAATGAATCAAAAGAAAACAAGCGTAGGATCAACAAAGTCAAAAAATCACAGGCCAATCTTATAAATTTGATAATATAACTTTTGAAAATGTAGATAAAACTGAGAAACTACATCTTATTACCAAAACTAACTCAAGAAAGAAAAAAAGAAAAAAGAAAAAAAGATTAAGAAAAAAAAATCAATCAACAGATCTTTCCACAAGGAAAAATATCCAAGTCTAGATGGCTTTACTAGTGAGTCCTGCCAAATAAAGGAAGAAATATTTCCCATGTCATACAAATAGTTCCAAGAAATGAAAAACAAGGGAATCCTTCCCAACTAATTTTAAGCAACTAATTAGCATAACTGTGACAACAAAACCCAATGAGAACAATCACAGGCCAGGCACAATGGCTCCTGTCTGTGATCCCAGCACTTTGGGAGGCTGAGGCAGGAAGATTGCTTAAAGCCAGGAGTTCAACACCAGCCAGGGCAACAAAGTGAGACCTTGCCTCTACAAAAAAATTAAAATGAATAAAAAATTAGCCAAGCTGAGGTGACAGGATCACTTGAGCCCAGGAGTTCAAGGATGCAGTGAGCTATGATTGCGCCACTACACTCCAGCCTGGGCAACAGAGTGAGAGTCCATATCTGAAACAAGGAAAACAGAAAAGAACAATCACAGAAAATAAATCACAGACAAATCTTAATCATAAATGCAAAACTCCTAAACAAAACATTAGGAAACCAAATGCAGCAATATATTCTTACGTGTTTATCCTGGGAAGGCAAGGTTAAATTCATCACAGCAACAGGCTTAAAAAGAAAATCACATTTAAATTATATACTAAACTGACTTTTTTCAAATCTCAATAAATTAAGAAAAATTTGGTAAAATTCAACAACTCATGACTGTAAAACAAAAACGAAACAAGAAACAAGTTTAGTAAACTAAGAACTGGGTGAAAGTTTCCTTTATCTGAGAAGAGTAGGGTGCTATAAACACCCTACAGCATGAATAATGTTTATTGACAATCCACTGAAAGCTTTGTGTTCAGGAACTACAGGAACATACCTACTATCGTCCCTTTTTTAAAAATTTGACACTGCAATAAAGATGCTAATCAACAAAGAAGGTGAAGAAAAAGAAATAAAGGGTATAAGGATTTAAAATGAACCAGTCATTATTCACAGATGATATGTTTATGTACATAAAAACTTCAAAAGGATTTACAGATAAAACATGTGAATTATTAAGACTGAGTTTAGCAAGGATGAAAAGTAAAAACATCAATA